ATGAACTAATTGTCTCCTGCAAACTCCACTCCCCTTTTGCTCCTCTTTTATTTCCTCTGGGAGGGGCAATTCATTGCCTTACTCCCAAGTTGACCCTTGTTCTTTAGTTGTTCCCTTCGTCTGGCAACTCTGCGCATGCGCACAGTGGGAACAGGCTCCAGTTGTTCGTCTGCCTCACTTATGTTGGACTCTGAAGGCAGTTGATAACTGTCAGACGGCTCTGGCCTCCTCTCTGCCTCCAACACAGAGCCCTCATCATAGCCTTCTCCAGAATCCAAGACTGGCCAATGTTCCTCCCCAACCTCCTCACTGTCCGAATCTGCTGCCAACTCTGCTGGCAGGCCACAACACATGCATTACATAAGATGACAGTTCCTAGAAATATTTTCTCTATAGGTAGTCCTCGACTTACAGCAGTTCATTTAGTGACCATTCAAAGTTACGACGACACTAAAGAAATGACTTACGACATTTCTCTTCCCCTTACAACTGTTGCTGCATCACTATGCTCATGTGATCAAAATTTGGTTCTTATTTATGATGGTTGCAGGGTCCCGGGGTCAACTAATCAACTTCTGTGACCTTCCGACAAGCAAAGTCAATGGGGAAATCAGATTCACTTAACAACCGTGTTGCTAACTTAACAACTGCATTGATTCACTTAATTGTAGCAAGAAGGGTCGCAAAATGGGGCAAAACTGTCTCATTTAGCAACAGAAATTTTGGCCTCAATTATGGTCGTAAGTTCAGAACTACCTGTATTTGGCCCAATATTTCTAAATCTCAGCCACTTCCAGGTCTGTGGACTTCAACTCCCAGAATTCTACAGCCAGGAGGTAAACCTTTTGCTCTCAATCATTTATTCCATAGTAGTGTGTCAAGATTGCTTTACTTCTTCTGAGCTTTTATTGCTTTTTCATCTTGCCACTCGAGCGGGAAGAGGGAAAATGGAATGCTAAAGCTTTCATCTATGGACTGTGAGAGCCAAGGTCACTGCTGTCGGTGTTAGACGGAGACTGTTCTCATAACAAAAAAAAGTCTTACAATTGGACTGTGTGAATACCCAGGGTGGGGAGAAAGAGAATCTATTGTTTAAGTAAGTGAGCTTTTGCGCAGGAAAATCAGAGCTGGTTTTGCTTCTGTAGTTCCAAGATGGTGTATCCAATAAAGTTAGACTTTTGGGAATTCAAAGATTCCGAGGGTGTTTCCTCCTTTTGGGCTTGCTAGTTGGACTGTTGACACAGTGGACTATAGTTTGTAAATGTTTATGCTACAAGAGAGGGTTTGGTTAAGCTTTAAAAAGGTAAAAGGTTCCCCCGCACATATGTGCTAGTCATTCCTGACTCTAGGGGACGGTGCCAATCTCCGTTTCAAAGCCAAAGAGCCAGCGCTGTCCAAAGACTTCTCCATGGTCATGTGGCCGGCATGACTAAATGCCGACGGCGCATGGAGCACTGTTACCTTCCCATCCAAGGTGGTTCCTATTTTTCTACTTGCATTTTTATTTGCTTTCAAACTACTAGATTGGCAGAAGCTGGGACAAGTAACGGGAGCTCATTCCATTACGTGGCACTAGGGATTCGAACCGCTGAACTGCTGACCTGATCGACAAGCTCAGTGTTTTAGACACTGAACCACCGCGTCCCTTGTTTAAGCTTTGGAGCCCCCCCAAAACAGATGATGCTACCAAAATGATTTCTTGACCCAGGCAACAGCTTCCAAACTATAAACCAGGGGAGGGGAAGGGACTCACCATGGCATTGAGCTGAGAGTTGCTGGCCTGAGCGATTCCAAGGAGGTTGGTGGTGTGCATCACCTCGACTGAAAAGCTTGGGAGCCAGCTAGCAATGCGAGACCCTGGAGGAGAGAAATCAGAAGATCTCTGAAAGACCCTTCCCATTCATTGTCCTTTGTTTTCCAAGTAACTTAAGGTATGGAGTGCCAACATTTACAAAGGTAAAAATCCAGTTGATGTTCAAGAATTGTAATGTAAAACAAATTGTTCTTCCCAATTCTGTTGAGCTTTAGAAAGTCTGTTAAGGTCATGACATGTATGAATCATAGGTAAAGGTTCCCCCCGCACATCTGTGCTAGTCGTTCCCGACTCTAGGGGGCGGTGCTCATCTCCGTTTCAAAGCCGAAGAGCCAGCGCTGTATGAAGACGTCTCCGTGGTCATATGGTCAAACTGACTAAACACTGAAGGTGCACGGAACACTGTTTCCTTCCCACCAAAAGTGGTCCCTATTTTTCTACTTGCATTTTTTATGTGCTTTTGAACTGCTAGGTTGGCCGAAGTTAGGACAAGTAATGGGAGCGCACTCCGTTACCCGGCGCTAGGGATTTGAACTGCCGAACTGCCAACCTTTCTGATCGACAAGCTCTGCATCTTAGCCCCTGAGCCACCGCGTCCCTTGTATGAATCGCAAGAATGCTGATATCATAAATGGTCCTGTTCTATGGAATATTTTCCCATTAGAGGTGAGATCCGCCCCTGCCCCCTTGACCACCCAGGAGAGTCTGGTTCTTCCACTTGGCCTGGCCCCCTGATGGGTCTCACTACATTAGGGCTGGCTGACGAGACAGAGAAAAATTCTTACGTACCCAGACTGCCTGTCATCTTGGTTTTTAATTTTCATGTTTAGGCTTTTATTGTCATTTTAAATTGTTTTAGCACTTCAATAAAAGCTAAATAAAGTTACATCCTAAGCCACCTTATTAGTAGGATGCAAAATTCAAGGGAGGGAGGGAGGGAGGGAGGGAGGGA